TCTGTCTCTTTTCTTTCTCTCTCCCCCTCTCGCTCTCTCTCTCTTTGTCTCTAATCTTCCTCTTTCTCTCGTTCTCTCTCTTTCCTCTGTCTCTCACTTTGGCTTCTCGCTCTCAATCTCGTTCTTCACGCTCTCATTTCTCTCATCGTCTCTCTCGCTCTCTCATCTCCCCTCCGCCGTCTCTCTCTCTTTTCAGCCAGGCTCCGTTATGCTCTCTCTCTCTCCCCTCTTTAGATCTTTCTCTCTTCTTTTCTCTCATTATTCTCTCTCTCGTCGTCTTTGTCCTTGCTCTCCCCCTCTTTTGTCTCCTTTCTCTCCCTCCTCGGTCTTTCCTCCGTCTTCCCACTCTCCGTCGCTCCCTCACCCTCCCTCCCGCTCCTTTGCCTGACTCCGTTCCATCCTCCTCGCAGCTCCCCCCGTTCTCTCACACTGCCCCTCTACTTCTCTCCTCACGTGTCTGCGTCTCTTAACTCTCGTCTCGTCTCGAATCTCTCCTCTTCTCCTCGCTGCTAGAGAGAGAGAGAGAGAGAGAGATTAAATAATAAATAGACCTTCCTTCGCGATCTTCTCACCTACTCTCTGTATCTCGGCTATTGTCGCCTCTGTGTACGGCATATCGTCCTGGTCCGCCATGCAGGGTAGCCGCCCTCGTCCGATGACGTCATCGATCTCTGCGTGCACGCGCCGCATGACGTCAGGGTTTTTGAGCATGAAGAGCAGACCCCAGCGTAGCGTCGCTGTCACCGTGTCATATCCAGCCCAAAACAGGTCCGCCACCGTTCTGAGAAGTTGCAATTCTAAAACAAACAGAAAAATACTATCAAACCTCCTACGTTAGCGGTCACCTCCGCAGAACGGTCACCTGTTCATAGGGGGACACTTTCGTTAGCGGTTTAGTAGAGTGGGCGTTAGGGTTATTTACGATTATTAGCTAAGCTTAATTTTTAATTTAGCTCCAAAATCTAGGGGCAGCTGCCACCCGTGCCCCCCGTCGTGTTGTGCGATAGTTACAGTCTGCTACATGTTNTATTATGTCTGTCTTTATTACTGTCTTTATTACGGTCTTTACTAACTCCTGATATATATATATATATAGGCTGCGTTCGCTTCAATACAATATACTAGCCATTACAGAACTAACGGACCACTTCTAATGTCATTCGTCACGGCATTGTCACTTTCGCGCTGACATATATTATTGGCTTAAATTCTTCCATGTTCCTCCATCTTGTATTGATTGATACGCCATTGCGTTGTGATCGCAATATCGTGTTGTGCGATAGATACAGTCTACTACATGTTACATGGACATGTTACATGGCCCTGTTACATGGACATGTTATATACAACCTGTTACATGGACATGTTACATTAGGTGCCGCAATACGATATCCGTTGTTACGCACTGATGCACAGCTGCCCCCCCCCAGAGGCTACGGCCCTGCATTTCGTTGTCGATCAACCGACTGCCGCAGCGCGCCACCTACCGGTGAACGTGGAATCCGTGTAGCCACGGTACGTCTGCTGTTCCGCCTTCTGCAGGTAGGCGTCGATGAAATCCGCGGGGGCCGACTGCGACGCCACCTGGTGCAGGCGTTCGTGCTTCGCAACGTTGCGCTGTATCTCGCTCGCGACGCTTCGAACAGCTTCCTCGAGTTGACGAACACTTCGTTTCATCGCCGGTAGATGGCGCAGGAAGGGGAAAGTGTGCAGCGCGGATTCGGGGCGCAGGGCCACGGTGATGATGTTGATATCTTTGACGAGTTGGACGAACGCAGGGTCGGCATGCTCATATCTCTTTCCGAACACGATAGATGCGATCACGTTGGCGACGCAGTTTGAGAGCAGATTCTGAAGCACACACAGAGAGGCGAGAACGAATTCAGACGTCGCCGTAGCACAACGCAGACACACATGCATGGACATAAGTGCACGCGCACACACGCGCACATACGTACGCGCACACGCACGCAGTGTGAGAAAAGGAGGAATAGAGGAGGAGGCAGGGAGGGAGGGAGAGAGAGAGAGAGAGAGAGAACGAGAGAGAGAGAGAGAGAGAACGAAAGAGAGACAGAGAAAGAGAGAGAGAGAGAGAGAGAGAGAGTCGGTACTTACAAAACAAACCCCAAGAACGCTATCCTGTCTCGCTCGTAAGCTAGGCGATGCCTCCTGTAACTTGCCAGCTCACTATACTACCTACTCCATGCATGCTTGGAGTACGGTGAGCTGAACACAAACTATAGTCTGTGTCCTCATGCTCTAGTCGGCCCCAATTTCTTAGTGCCTATGCTCTAAACTTCTGTGCTTTCGCTCGACTGGTATGTGTCTGTGCTTTGTGATCCTGTAATCCCGTGTCGCGGTGTCCGCTGTCGCGGTCCGGGTGGGTCCGTGGGCTCCGTGCGCCCTGTGTTTCGCAGAACTGTGTTTCCGTTGTCTTCTTGTCCATCGCGCACGCGTCAACTCTATGTCCTTGTTCATCTTACCATATCAGACGGCGCGCATAGTTGTACTGTGTCTGATCCACTCATAGACATCGGCAAGGCCATTTCGTTGCTACACAAGGTTTCAGATCGGGGGTTCAGCTATAACTATATGTCGATTCTGTCATGTACACGCTATCTCCATAATCCGCCTCTTTGCTTAATCGACCTTCGGTTTTGCTAGACAAGTCTCCCGCATGGCGAACAGCAGGGGAGACTGTGCGAACGTCTTCAGAGAAAGTTTCGCCTAGACCAGCAAACTACGGTGAGTCTCGGCATGGGGAAGGTCAGCATAGGAGAAGTCAAGATGCCAGCCGAGGCCAGGCGTCCGCTGTCTCACACTATCTACGCAGAACACCAAGAGGAGCCGATCCTCGAGCCCGGCAGGTAGACAAGGACACCGCCTCTCGCCCGACATACTGTGTCACTGTTTCTTTCTCTCCTCTCATCTCCAGCTCTTCCTCTCCTCTGCTCGCTCTCTCTCTCTCTCTCTCTCACTCGCTCTCTCTCTTAGACTCTCTCTCCCTCTCTCTAACTCTCTCTCCTCTCTCCTTCCACNAAACTTTCTCTGAACTTTCCACAGTCTCCCCTGTGTTGCCAGGAGACCTAGAAAACCGAAGGTCGTTACAAAGAGGGTTATGGGAGATAGCTGGACATTGACAGAATCGACATATAGCTTATCAGCTGAAAATATGCTGAAAATCCTTGTGTAGCAACGAAATGGTTCCGAATGTCTATATGTGGCAACACATAAACATGGATATGAATATGTAAATGAACAAGGACATAGACTTGAACGCGAGCATGGAAATAGAAACGGACACAGTCCGAAACACAGGCACGGGCACGGACACGGACACGGACACGGACACGGATACAATCACAAACACAGACACAGACACAATCACAAACACAGACATGGGTTTAGAGCTAGACTAAGAAATGGGAATAGACATGAGCACAGACTATAGTTTTGTTATGTATATAGCATGCATGTATAGGTAGTATATACTCAGTTACAGGAGATCCCCTACTTACAAACAGGATAGGTTCTTGGGGTTTGTTTGTAAGTCCAAATGTTCGGAAGTCCAACATTACATTTACAGCTCTACCCCAATAACATTCGACTGTATATTTTACCAGCCTTGAACAGTATTACTTTGAAGTCTAAGGAACAGGGACTGGAAATGGCTTTAAAGGTTGTATAGCCCTTTATTAAGGTTGTATATTATACAGACAGGTTTGTTCGTATCTCTGAAAGTTCGTAACTTGAACGATTGTAAGTAGGGGAGCGCCTGTAAAGCACTGCGACACGTATACCATAAACTTCTCCGTCATCCTTAGCAAAGCAGATCTTTGAGATGTAAGTGTCTGGTCGGCCTGACGTCACGTTACCCTGCATCATGAAGGCCTCCTGTACCAGCTCTAGATCGTTGAGAATGACAGAGAACTGCAAGACGACGTGCGATATAGTTGAGAGTTGCACTGGTTGTTGCTATAGCAAGCTAGAGGACGCTTTCCTCGCAACATAACCGCCTGGCACTCGCACGCACGCAAGCACGCACGCACGCACGCACGCACACGCACATATCCACACACATACGCCTGCGCACAGTACACATGTACACACACAAACACACGTGTACGCACACATACAACAGATTTATGCGTAAAGACAGATATAAGACAGACCGTGTGATAACGCATTGAGTGTATTTGCCATAATAAATAACATGTATCATCTACTCAGATTCACTCAGATCTAATCGCTTAGATACATCTATATTATATTATATTATATTATATTATATTATATTATATTATATTATATTATATTATATTATAT